ACAGAGTTTGGCACACTAGCCTTTTGGGTAAGCTTCCAGCGTACGGCTTATCATCTGGTCTGATTGAATGGGTAAAGGACTTTCTGAGTGAACGGTCTCTCCGGGTCGTCGTCGATGGCTGCTAATCCGATCCTATAGCGACTAACGCCGGTGTTCCTCAGGGGTCCGTTCTTTCGCAACTCTCTTCCTGCTGCATATTAATGATCTGCTCATGCCCAGTATCTATGGGTATGCAGACGATAGCACAGTTGTTGAGAGATACCAACCAAGTTCTCGGGCCAGTCGGGATCAAATCCAGTCCGAAAGAGAAGCTATGGTAGAGCGTGTGAATCTCACATTACAGGCAGTCTCCGATTGGGGCGATGCCAATCTTGTGAAGTTCAACGCCTCCAAAATACAAGCGTGTCTCTTCACTGCAAAAAGGAGCCAGCTCACCTTGGCTCCTTCTTTCCGAAATGTATCACTGAAATATACAGACCGCCTTCAGTTGTTAGGGTTTGAAATATCCTCAAATTTGAACTTCGGGCGGTTCATTGAGTCCAAGGCCAAAGCAGCTGCAAGGAAGCTGGGAGTCCTTGCAGAGGTGCAGCGATACTTCACGCCGGGACAGCTGCTTACTTTATATAAAGTCCGGTTGTGTAAGGAGTATTGCTGCCATATATGGGCTGGTGCTGCAAAATGCCACCTTGCAGCTTTGGACTCAATGGAAAGGCGTGCTAAGAGGCTTACTGATGACCCGAATATGGTTAAAACCAATCTTACTAGCCTCAAACACAGACGTAAAGTAGCCAGCCTTTCGGTTTTCTACAGGATGCATTTCGGAGAGTGTGCGCTGGAATTATTTTATTTAATTCCACCCTCTCCCTTCCACCATCGGACAACCAGACGTTCGGCCAGTCTCCACCCTTTCGTTGTTGACTTACCACGCATTCGAACCAAACAGTTCGCCACGTCGTTCATCTTGCGTACAGCAAAGGAGTGGAATAAGTTGCCAGCATCTGTCTTTCCATCCGATTACATTGTGGGTGTCTTCAAGGCAAGAGTGAATAGGCTTTTGTTAAGTCAGTGCGCTTCACCATCTTAGGCTACATCACCCCTTACCATCAGGTGGAATCGTAGATAAGCGCTGGCTTAGTAGAATATTAAAAAAAGTCGTTCCAGCCATTTTCGAGTTTTTGCGAGAGTAACAGAGAGCAATTGATTTTTATTTATAGAGATGTAAAAGATTAATTAGCTTGAATCCGGATAATAAAATAAAATGATGTGTATTACCTAGTTTGAAGAGCACTTCCGCCCTCCCTCAATTAGGTGCACTATCCTCGTCACCACTAATACCACCACCACTACTCCCAACACCATTGCACTAGGAAAGACACACCACGTGTTTCGGTTTTAAAGGAGGCATAATCGGATTAAATAAACTCTGTGGTGGCTGATCTCTACAAATATATAATGGCCCTTCGACGCAATCAAAGTGGGGGGGGAGGGAGATAGGTGCTCTTTAAACTAATAAGACTGAACATTTTATTTAATTAGTTTAGCAGTAGGTAAAGTAGCCTTTAAACAACCGTAACAATTACAGACTAATTCGAAGTAAACACTAAAGTATGTTTATAACGATAGCTTTAGGGATACTAATTTAGATTTTTTTTATTCCTATAATTTTGATTTTTTTATTATTCCGGGACTGGACGCTATATATAAATGTTAAACTTCTCAGCAAGCTTCAAGCTTATATTTAATCTCAATTAAACTTGATGCTACGCCTGCTTACTGCGAGAATAACTAAAATTTTAATAGGCTAACTATAAGTTGCCGTAATAACGAACAATAATATTTTTTCTTTAAAACTTTGTGATCTTTCTTATCCTGAATCCGTCGTAGAGGGAGCCTTTGTATTTTGACAAGGGAAAGCATTAAGTAGTAACGACGGGGAAGGTATAGCTGTATAATAATCAGTCTTTAAGACTGGAGTCAATATAAAGCATTTGAATGAGGCGGTACTTTAGATTTTTTATATAATAAGCTTTACAACAGTCCGCCTGATGTTGCTCATAGACAAACATTAATCCTCAAATTAGTATTGAAATGCAAATAAATGCAAAAGTAGTTTTAATGAAAAAGTAATATTGATTCTGTAAACACCAGGAACAAGCACAAGCTAGTGATACCAGTTTCTCGACTCCACAGAGTCAGTAATTCATTCATGGGGCAATGTATAGTTGTAGTTTGACTGTGAACATAGTTATTATTTTGAAACCAGTGGTAAAAACAATTAATGACTTACAAAATACTCGAAATTCAATGAATTTTTTGGGAATTTTGGAAATATCCCATATATATATATATATATATATATATATATATATATATATATATATATATATGGGATATTTCCAAAATTCCCAAAAAATTCATTGAATTTCGAGTATTTTGTAAGTCTTCTAAATTTTGGAAATATCCATATATATATATATGGATATTTCCAAAATTTAAAACGAAACACTCACTTTTATACTGATTCTTTTATTATCAGTCACAAAAACACATTACATCTTCTTATATATTCATTACAATGACATTTTTATAAAATTGACATCTTACAATTTTATTTTCAGTTCAATAAGCTCGCTAGGGAGACGTTCTGCCCTTTCCAAAGACCCTTCCTATAAAAATCCTTAAATTAGCAATAATAAATTTTGAGTGTCATTTATCGGGATAAAAACTCTCTCTCTCAAGTTGGACCAAAATGCACACAGTATGCAAAGTTTCATTGAAATCAGTTCAGAGGTTTAGGAGTACATCGCGGACAAACAACGTAACAAGTAAGTTATATATATATATATATATATATATATATATATATATATATATATATATATATATATTTATATATATATATATATATATAATATATATATATATAAATAATACTAGGTCATAGTCAACTATTTACAAATTCACAGCTTTTTACTTTCCACGGCTATAATTTCTAAAAGGGTTTTTGGGAAAGGAATTGTCCGACGCGCTGCCCCGATTTACGTTGGCATTGTTTGAAATATAAATTAGCAAATAAGGAGTTAGTGCTATGTAATATATAAATATATTTAAAATGAATTAGTAGCTGAATTAATGGGACGGCCATATAGGTCGAAGAACCGAAAAATGATGAGCAAGAAAGGTTCTCGAGTGGCAACTACGTACCGGTGAGCGAAGTGAAGGGCGACCCCTCACTAGATGGAGTGACGACATGGTAAGATATGCCATGTAAAGTACCTGAGCCACCTGCAACCATCGACATGGTAAGTCAATGGTTGCAGGTGGCTCAGGACAGTACTTTGTGGCGTTGCTTGGGGGAGGCCTATGTTCAGCAATGGACTTGTGAAAATGATGATGCTTGGTGAATACATAAATACCTGTGTTATTCAATTTTAAGATCTCACTAATTGTTAAGCACCAGGATAAAAGTAGGTATTTACTCTCTGTGTTTCACCATTAATGTATGAAAATTAAATCAGCACTATCAATTGTTATTAACTACTTCATTAGTACCGGTGAAGATCGAAGCCGGAATGCTCGGGTACGGTTAAGTTCACAACAAGCGCTTAGACCCTGAGTTACAACGGCTCTAAATACGAGTAGTAGAGGAAAATTACTATGCAGTGTAATGCAGCGCTATTTCGCTAGATAAACGTATCATTGGTAGCGACGTAAGAGAGAGCACGTTTTGTTAAATTAAACTATTTATAAATTGAGTGCGTTTTGCTATACATAGAAGATTTTAACTTCTTAATTGGAAGTTGTAATAGGTTCTATTTTGAAAGTATTTTCTTTTTATTGCTCAATGTCGCGGTGTTTCATATGCTTGTAGAAACTTCTATGTTAATCCATGTTGAGTGTTGGTCTAATATATGTTCCTTTCTTTTTAGTGGAAGATACAACGTGGTAAAATATGTGAGAAGTCGATGGATGCAGGTAAATCAGAATTGTGTTATGCGGCATTTCTTAGAGCAGACCTATGTTCAGGCAGCAGTTTACTTAAAAATGACTGTTTTATAGAATAGGAGTGATAAACGAGTACACCGTCCGCCTGAATGGTAAGTGGATGCTGTGACCTATAGACATCTACATTTATCTTCTATTAAGAACCAAAACACAGCCACTAGAAAAAGTTAGCAAATTCAAATATTTGGGATGCTGGGTTGATAATACGGGAGACCACAGTCTTGAAATAAGGTGCCGCATATAACAAGCCCGTAATGCTTTCTTTAAGCTAAAGTTAGAGGTTATTGATACGTTAATACAATGTTCTGCAAAAATATTGATCTTTACTCCATCTAGAGATTTATCCTTCATTTTATAGTTCAGACCAGACATTTTGGCCCGTATTTTAGGCTGTAACTTTAACTTTTACTTTAAGCGAGTTATTATGTCGCGCGGCTAAAACGAGTGATTTACGCAGGTGAAACTACAGGGCACAGCCAGTGTCTTTAAATGTCATTATAACTATCCAAATAATGAATCAGATTGTGGTTCTAGGCAGAAAATTCTACCACCTAGTAAATTTCACAGCATTTTTTTTAAATCTAATACCCATGAAACTTTTGTTAACTTAATCTATAGTAGTAGTAGTAGTATATACTTTATTGTACACCACACATATACAACGAATAAATACATTACAGAGAAAACTTAATATATACGTATGTACAATAAGGCGGTCTTATCGCTAAAGAGCGATCTCTTCCAGACAACCTTTGGGCTAAAGAGAAACTGGAATTAAGAACAGTAGGAGGTGGTGCGCTTTATGTTACACTTACATACTAATATCTAAATAAACTAAACTATATTTTGTTAAAATACCACAATAATACATAAAAAATAATAATAAAATAAACATACATATTAATAAATAGGTATATATATATATATATATATATATAAATATATACACATACATATATATATACAAAGATAATAAATATTGCTAGAATTGGTTATCAATAACCACAAAGTGTTAGGTAATGCTTCTTGACGTCACTTTTGAATCTTTTCAAAGTTTGAGCACGTTGAATTTGGAGTGGAAGTTCATTCCATAACCTTATGGCTTGGCTCGTAAAAGAATATTTCATAAATTTTGTTCGAAATGAACATGGTTCTAGAATTAGTTCGCCGGCTGACCGAAGAACTCTATCAGGTCGATCATGACCAAGAAACTTAAAGTTTTCCTTCAAGTAGCTTGGAGTCAAAGGATTGAACAACACACAGTACAAAAGAGATACAGTTTGCAGATTCCGGCGAAAGCGAATGGGTAACCACTTGAGCTGTAAACGATATTCGGATACATGATCATATTTACGCAAACCAAATATGAACCTAATAGCAATATTTTGAATTCGCTCAAGTTTGTTCAGTTGGTCTTCAGTTAAATCGAGATAACTTGCGTCCGCATAATCGAGAATAGAGAGAAGTAAGGATTGTGCTAACATAATCTTAGTGGGAATGGGGAGAAAAGAACGTAAACGACGAAGTAAACCCATAGTAGCAAACACCTTTTTGCTCACTTGTTTTAACTGCTGCGACCACGACAAGGTAGAATCTAGATATATTCCCAGATTTTTTACAGATTTACTGTAGGGTATGACAACGTCATTTAGTGTCACCGAGGGTAGGTTGTTCCAGTCAACTCTGGAGACCATCCCTCCACCACCAATAACTATAGCCTGGGACTTGAACGGATTAATTTTTAGACCATAACGCTGACTCCACTGGTTTATCGCCGCTAGGTCATTGTTAATGGTGGCAACAGCAGAAGGCAGATTTAACAGAGTTGACTGAGTGTAGATTTGGAGATCGTCTGCATACATGTGATAGAGAGAAGTAATATTTTGAGAGATAGAATTAATGAATATAGCAAAAAGTAAAGGAGACAGCACACCACCCTGAGGCACTCCAGCCCGTAATTCGCACCAAGATGAGAACTCATCTTCGATGCGAACACGCTGCCGTCGGCCGTAAAGATAACTATGAAACCAGCCAATCACCGGAGGAGATATGTTAATAGAACGTAACACACTCAATAAGATGTCAAAATCAACAGTGTTAAACGCATTGCTAAAATCAAGCAATACTAACACAGTGAGCTGTTTGTTATCCATACCTCGTCGAATGTCATCAGTAACTTTAACCAACGCTGTTGTCGTACTATGACCCGATCGGAAACCAGATTGGAGAGGATCCAGGATACAATTTCTATTTAGGTAGAGATTTAACTGAAAGAAAACTAGTTTCTCCAGGAGTTTGGATAAAAACGGGAGAATTGAGATAGGACGAAAGTCGGAAAAATGCAAAGCATGGGGTTTTTTTGGGAGAGGCGTTACAAGTGCACTTTTCCAAACATCAGGAAATTTTGAAGAGGAGATGGATTTATTCAAGATATGGGTAAGGATAGGAGTAACAAATTCTAGGATAGGTAAGATCATGTTACGACTAACATTGTCATCACCCACGGCATTGGACGAGATGGACAAAATGTTCTTTTTAACATCACTATCAGTGAAAGGAGAGAAATTAAACGGTGGAAAATCAGGAGTTGGTATTGAAGAAAGAATACTCAGAGTTCGATCTTTATCTGAGCTATCTAATGTGCTAGAACAGGTGAAGTATTTGTTAAGGAATTCAACATCAACATTATGATGAGGAGAATTATTGGATGTTTTACCAACTCCAAGAGACTGAAGAAACTTCCAAACTTTGGCTGCGTCGCCGTTTTCGACGGATTTATGAATATGGCGTCTTTGTGCATCCCTACACAATGTATTGCAGCGATTCCGTACTTTATTATAATATCGTAAGTTTTTCTCAGATTTATCAGCTTTTAACTTACTTTTAGCAAATCCTTTTTTTATAATAAGTTTTTTTAGACTATCAGTTAACCAAGGTGCAGGTAAATGTTTCATTTTTATTGATTTTACTGGGGCATGGATGTCATAAAGTTGGATAAGAAAGGAGTTAAATAACTCGACTTTCAAGTCGACTGTTGAAGCATTTTCAACAGCTGACCAGTCCATGCGACGAGCATCTTCCAGAAGACGTTCTTTGTCCATTCCACCAAAATTACGTTGCAGAAGAATTCTCGATTTTGCTTTAGGAGGACGAACTTTGTATGCAAGAAACAAGAGATCATGATGAGAGAAAAGATCAGCGTCATGCTGGCCATGCTTCAGGACAAAATCTGGAGAGGATACAATAATTAAGTCAAGTAGTGATGGAGTACAGTCAGGCATTTTATGCGTAGCAGATAGTGGTAATATATGTAGATTACATGCCTCGGTTAATGATTTTAGCTTTTCACACCGATAGTCACCCTTGAGTAGGCATGTGTTAAAGTCACCCATGATTATAGTGTGAGTATATAATGGGATTAAATTTTCTAATAAAAATTCGAAAGAAGAGAAATAGTCAATATGAAGAGAAGGACTGTAACAAACGCCAAGAAGAATTTTCGTATTGGATAGGGTTACTTCAATGAAGAGATGCTCAGCCGCATTAGAAGGAGATGGTTGGGGGGACAAACTTACTACCGCAAAAGGTAAATAAGAACGGAGATAGATTGCCACACCACCACCCCCCCTTCCAATACGGTCGTTGCGAATAAGATGGAATCCTGGTAATGAATAAGAAGTGGATGGCAAGCATGGTTTCAACCAAGATTCAGAGACTAGAATGGCGTGAACGTTATGGGATTCAAGGGACGCAAGCATGTCGGGATAATGAGCCGGAATGCTTTGGGCATTTATATGAATTACATTAAAGTTTTTCAGGGAATCTGAGAAATATGAATTAAGTGCTACATTTATCGGAATTGAAGATGTTGTACTGTGGAAGCTGTGTTCACTAGATGCATTATCATTTGACGATAAAGACAAGAAATCGTCAGAATCATTACCTACATCATAATTATCTAACAACATAGTAAAATAAAATATATAATTTATATATATATATATGTGTGTGTGTGTGTGTATATGTGTATATATATATATATATATATATATATATATATATATATATATATACCTAGTCAGGTCATAAGTATTGTCACACAGTAAAAACTTTTCTTTTAGAATGCTGGCCACAAAAAAGTTTATTGAATTTGAATTTCGAATAGTTCATGAAAATAAAACTGTATACTTTTTAGAATTTTATTCATTTTTAAATATGGAGTGGACGCTTAAAGAAGACCGTGTTGCAGTTATTGCGTTGCATCGTTGCAGTTACGCGCCAATTCAAATTTTTGACATACTGGAAAATTTGAATATAACCAAAAGATTCGTTTATCGTACCATCAACCGATACAATAAAGACTCTAGTGTAGATGACAGGTCAAGAAGTGGTCGCCCTCGGTCTGTAAGGATTCCAGCAGTGATAAAAGCTGTGAAGGCGCGAATTCAAAGAAATCCCAAACGTAAGCAGAAACTGTTTGCCCTTCAGATGGGGTTAAGCAGAACTACGGTGAAAAGGGTGTTAAATGAAGACTTAGGGCTTCGGGCATATCGAAGAAAAACAGGACATCGTTTGAATGCTCGTCTAATGGACCTGAGACTGAAGAGATGCCGCGCTTTGTTGAAGCGGTAAGCAGGAAAAAAATATCGGGAAATTCTTTTTTCGGATGTAAAAATTTTTACCGTAGAAGAGAGCTACAACAAACAAAATGATAAGGTGTACGCACACAGTAGTGAAGAAGCAAGCAACCGTATTCCGCGTGTCCAATGAGGTCATTTTCCATTCTTGCTCATGGTATGGTTGGGAGTTTCTTATTGGGGCTTAACAGAGGTACTTTTTTGTGAGAAAGGTGTAAAAACGAATGCAGTTGTGTATCAAAATACAGTCCTGACGAACCTTGTGGAACCTGTTTCTCATACCATGTTCAATAACAGGCACTGGATATTCCAACAAGATTCGGCGCCAGCTCATAGAGCGAAGAGCACACAAGACTGGCTGGCGGCGCGTGAAATCGACTTCATCCAGCACGAAGACTGGCCCTCCTCCAGTCCAGATTTGAATCCGTTAGATTACAAGATATGGCAACACTTGGAGGAAAAGGCGTGCTCAAAGCCTCGTCCCAATTTGGAATCACTCAAGACATCCTTGATTAAGGCAGCCGCCGATATTAACATGGACCTCCTTCGTGCTGCGATAGACGACTGGCCGCGCAGATTGAAGGCCTGTATTCAAAATTACCGAGGTCATTTTGAATAAAATTTAGTGTCATAAGAATCTATGTTTTGTTAAGTTCATTTTGGTATATAAATGGTTACATAATGAATAAACTTGTTTCAATTATTTTATATTAAACATGTGACAGAATTTATGACCTGACTAGGTATATATATATATATATATATATATATATATATATATATATATATATAGAGAGAGATCTCTTCACGGTAAATGTTGATCAGACGCGACTTCACGCGAGCACTTTGTTGATCCGAAAATGTATGTTGATCCGACGCCTTTTCTTGATCCAATATGCATCTCTGGTAACTAATGTTGCTCCGACAGGATCAACATCTACACTCACGGGACTACTTACTAGCGTTCCCCGAAGTTGATCTGATATACAAATCCACCTTGCGATAGTTACGCAAAATGTTAATCCGATTTAAATGAGCCAATCAGAGCACATCAAACGATCGGATTGGCTGAAAAAATCCGCGACGTTGCCGTTTCGTTTTTTTGGCGGTGGCAGCGACGATATTGTCTAAGGTGGACTTGAAAAACAAAAACACTGCTTCACTATATCAAAATAATAAACACAAACAAAACTAAAATATCTATCAAAGAAACATAGAGTAATCAATAACATTGCAACCTGACTTACTTATTAGTCGCTAGTCACTAGAATTAAGAATGCATTTGCAAAATTGATAGTTATAGAATCGAACTATTATATAATTTATTATAATAATTTTATATAATAATTTTACAAGTCCAAGAACATCTAGTTCGACATTTCCTTGGACCTGCAGCATCAACCACAGAAAGTAATCTTCCTCAAAGATCTTCAATCTCCTGTAGCTTTCCAAGATCTTCAATTGCTTCTTCAAGCAATTCTGGACATTCTCTGGAAGAAATACCACGAAAGGCCGACAATAAACTCGTACGAAATAGATGCACTGCTATGTCAAATTGAAAAATGAAGGATTATTGGCTAGAAACGCTAAGCAAGTACACACTGAGTGCAAAAGGTGTGAAAAGGCATTCAGTTTAGAATGTTATAATGAGAAACATGCTTGATTTTATAATATTTTCTTTGAATAAAATCCTGACCTTCAGTATTTGAGTTTTATTTATAGCAAGTTTATTGTAGTTATTAAATGACAACTTTAAAAAAAATTGCGAAGTTTTCTTTTATTATTATAAACAATAGGTTTTTTACTATACGTCCACGTATGATTTGAAACAATATCACGTCACGTTCATACCAACAAATGTGCCTTAAGTTGTATTGAGAAATGAGTCACCTGTGACTCATGAACTTATTCTAATACGTTCCTGTGAGTCATATATGACTCATTGGAGAGGGAAGTTGAGTTTTCCCCGGGTGTTCATGCAGCGATCACTCAAGAGTTCACGACGCCGACACATGAACTTGAACAGTCATCGCAGTTTATGTCCGTACTAGCTGTTGCCAGCGGCTTCGAACGCATGTAACTCCAAAACTATGCAACAGAAACGAAATACCTGAATAAACGGTATCATATGTGTTACATAAACCTATCTCTGAGCAAAATATCATCCAGATCCCTTCAACCGTTCTGGCATGATTGAGTAACGTACATCCATTCATCCATCCATCCAAACATCCAGACTTTCGCATTTATAATGTTTAGATAATAATTATAATTAATTCAGCCTATCTATAAATTGTTTTCTAAAATACTTACTAACCTGTGTTCTTACTTTTTTTATGTACAAAATCTAACGTAATTAACGCGCATCCTCAGACACCCCAATTAGTATATTATGTTATAATCATAATACATTATTTTTAATTATTATTATATTCTTACTAAAACATGATTATGCATTGATTATTTATTAAATTAGTTATACTAATTCCGGAAGAATGTTGTGGTCACCGTACAAAACCACGAACGCTAGGTGTAGGTACTTGCTAGTTTTTTTTTTGAATTTGCATAACATTTCAATTGTATTTGTAAATAATAATGAACTGCTAAAACTAACATAATTCAAAGACGGCGTGTTTAAAAGATGTGAATCAAGATAACAATAATTTTAAGAATCAAATATTTAACTTACTGATAGCCTAAACTCTCATGCAACGTTGTATTTAAACCACAACGGCTCCGTGGCGCAGTGGCTTAGCAATTGAGTTGCGGAACAATATTTGTATGGCCTACAAATAATTGTTCCGGGTCTGGATGTTTGACCTTGTGCAATTTATGTTTGTACACTGCCCCCACAATACAAGAGATAATCCTAGTGTGGAGGTTACGTTTTAAAAAAGAAAGAAAATAATTTAGAAAGCAATTCAGTGTCATTTTTCACTATTCTAAAATCGTCACAAAAAGGTCCTCGGCACTTGTTGGCTCACTAAAGTAAACTAATGATTTAATACATCCCCATAAAAAAAGTCAAGAGGCGTCAAATCAGCTGATCTGGGAGGTCAGTGGCCTGGCCGCCGCGACCTTTATAAGGCACTCCAAACTCTGTATTTCTAAAGACTTTAACATACTTGAAATAAGGTTCAATTTTCTTTATTTTGTATTGAATGACGGAATTTGTATTAATACAAGTAAAACTCACTTTTAAAAGTCTTATTGCTTTGAGTTACGGTCCATTTCAGTTTGTTTTGACTGTACAGGTTTAGGCGTGACTGTAAATTACGTAGTTTCAATTATTTTTGGGATAAAAAAAATTACCTATATTAAAAATGATAGAAACCGATTCAGTAAACGATTCTGAACAAACTACTTTCACAAAGTGCGTTAATTATGTTACGTGTTGTCAGAATTTGTCAAAGAAGGTACGTATGGCAATTCATAGTGCTGTGTTAGTCCCTACTTTAATGTATGGTAGTGAAAGTTGGGTCTGGCAGAAGAAGCATGAGAATAGAATAAATGTTGTAGAAATGCCGTCATTAAGGAGTATGCTAGGGCTGAATTTGAATGACAGGGTGAGAAATAGTATGATAAAAGAAAAGTGTGGTTTGCAAGATGACGTTGTGACCAAGATTAAAGAAGGAATGCTTCGGTGGTTTGGTCATGTAGAAAGAATGAACGAGGAAAGAGTGACAAAGTAAATTTATGTTTCAGAAGTGAACGGCAGAGTCGGGAAGGGACGCCCTAGACGAAGATTTATCGACCAAATCGGCGATACATTGAAAATGGGCCAAATTAGGAGTACCCTTAACCGACGAGCGTGTATGCGTAGCTATATGGATGTAAAGGAGGCGAGAGAGGTGTGTCAGGATCGCGCCAAATGGAAGTCCGTAGTCTCTGCCTACCCCTCTGGGTGACAGGCGTGAGTGTTTGTGTGTGTTTGTGTTGTATACTCAATATCACTAAACGTAAACACAGGTTTTTATCAAGACAAGTGACCCATCAAGATTGTTTTCTTAGTACCGACGTACCTACCTAAAGTTTACATTTTAGTGTCCACGACGCAGCAATGATTTGTGACAGTTTGTTGTATTGTAGGTTGTAGGTAAAGTAACAGTAGGTATCTATGATAATCCTACATAATATACCTAGTTTGTCCGCCGCAAATGTCGTCGAATAAATAATTAAACTGTTTTGTAAATCTTTATTGATTATTTATTTATTTATAAGATGTTCATTGAGAGCCGTGGTAGATCAGATGTTTAGCGCTCGCTGTAAGTATCACAGTACGCGATAAACCCGGGTTCGATCCCCGCCGGCACCAATGAAATTGGTGCAATTTATTTATCACATTTTAATTATTTTTATAAATACGTTTAAAAATAAAAATATAAGTTTTGTAATTAAATTATTATTACTGAATTAATTACACAATTACTGACATTGTTTCCTTTTACGTCTGCGGTTTGTAATTACCGCCTCTATAGCTCAAAATAAATTATTTCTAATACACAGAAAAATAGTTAGGTACTTATGATACTATGTGGAAAGTTGGTTTTTACAAACTCGTAGACGAATCTAATCCCAATTTACGCATGTGTGTCATACAACGTTTTTCAACACATTTGCGAGAAAACAGTACCTACTATAGGTAACGAAACAAACTTTTTGTTCTTAGATATCAGTTGGAAAGTCTGTTTTTCTGGGCTGTTTTGTTTTGTTAGACTGACATCTCGCAGGTCAACCTAGGAGGTTGTCGGTTGCTTATTTTTTATTTTTATTTGGCACAGGCCTCCTCTAATTTCTGAGAGGGTTTTAAGGCAAGGAAATGTCCGCCGTGCTGCCCCAATGCGTGTTGGTGAACTTTATGCCGGGTTTCCACGCTTGCCAAGTCTCGGCAAGCATCCACAAGCACAAGTGTGTAAAGAGGGCGTTTGGCTTGGCTTGCGTGAGCTTGTGGACGCTTGTCACCGATCCGGGCTAGTGTCGGTTTTTGGACATAGATCAAAGGGCGCTTGCGGCAAGCGCTTGCAACGCATTCACACGTTGGTGCGCGTTTAGTAGAAATTGTGATTTCGCGACAAGCGCATGTTTAGTTCTTTGTTTAAAATGAGTGACTGGTCGAACGAAGAGAGTTTATCGTTTCTGGAATATTACCAGACCGAATCGTCTATCTGGAACCCCAAAGACGTTAATCATAAAAATAAAAAGAAAGTTGCAAATGCTTGGAGTCGTCTTGCCGAGTTAACGGGAAAGCCAGTAAAAGAATTAAAAGCCAAAAATTCCTTGTTTTTGTATTACTTTGCTTGTATTTCAAATAAAAGTATGTTAAACTAAACGCAATAGCCGACACAAGTTCGGTTTCCGCCATGCTTGGGTTTACGTAGCACACTGACGCATTCACAAGCATGGAAACGACTTCCAAACGCCAAACGAGATTTGTGGACGCTTGGGGCTTGAAGACGTTTGCCGAGGCTTGGCAAGCATGGAAACCCGGCATTACTAAATATATATTTTTTTTAATTTCTCAGACATGCAAACCCGGGTTAGATCCCCGCCGGCACCAATGAAATTGTTAATAATAATAAATAATCAATGCATAAACATGTTTAACTAAGAATTCAGTGTATGTATTATGATTATAACATAATATACTATTGGGGTGTCTGAGGATGTGCGTTATTTACGTTAGATGTTGTGTATATAAATATAAGGGGGTGAAATGCGGTTTGAAAGGTTATATGTGTCCTATATTTTTGAAGTTAGACATATGAAAATCGGCATTTAGATTATTAACTTTAAATAATAAAAATCTGTGTAAATTATTTCGGTTTTAATTTTTTTTAATTTAAAGCACTTTAAAAACAAAAACACTGTTTCACTATATCAAAATAATAATCACAAACAAAACTAAAAATATATATAAAAAACATAATAATTGATAACATTGCAACCTGAACTACTTATTAAGTCGCTAGTCACTAGAATTAAACAATTAAATACAAAAACAAAACACACATTTAAAAACAGAATAAAAACAGAATTAACCAAATTTTTACATTGTAGAGCCATGCTGCAGCTGTATTACTGGTATAATTGTAGCACGAATGGGTCGGCTCGACCGGGGAAGGACCACACACTCACAAAATACCAGCTTAAAATAGCACCTTAACGCTGTAAACGAGGCATTCCATCTTAGTCCTCAACACATCTGCATTTTGATTTAGATGTAGATGTCTATGGGCCACAGCAACCGTTTACCATCAGGTGGACTGTGTGCTCGTTTGTCACCCTTATCTTATAAAAAAAACAATAATCTCAAACAAGATTCAAATATATACTTTAAAGAAATATAATCAATAACATTTCAACCTGACTTACTTAGTCCTCACAATTAAATAATCAAAACAATAACCACAAATAAAATTAAAAAAAATATTAATTATAAAAACATAATAACATTGCAACCTTGTTGCAACTTGACTTATAGGTACTTTTATGTCACAACTCACTACTTAATAAGTTTCATTTCAGCATTTGATTTATGAACTATAAAGTATTATTGTAACCGGGTAGGGTTAATTCGTATTGACATGTGCGATTCCATGCGGCGCGCCCGGTCTAGATCATACCTCATTTATGTACAGGCGGAGCTCACCGCTGAGCGGGCGCGGAACACAGCAATGTAATCGTATTCTACTTAGTTAAAAATCATCGTATTCTACTTAGTTAAAAATTATGATAAAATATTATGTAGTACATCGATTTCTAATAGTTTAATCATCCAAGTTTTCTAATCATCATCGTCATTACAACCTTACACAAGTCCACTACTGAACATCCTCCTAGATAGACTGCCGCAAAGTCTGGTCCTAAACCACATTCCTTGTCATGAGTTTTTCATCTATTTTCAAGTTATAATTAGTATTACTAAGTTATGGTTTTTGCTTGTATATACTATATTTATTGCTTGTTTTTTCTTCTTTCTCAAAAAATAATTGAATAATTACATAAGGTGTTCTTAATATACATCGAATGTCAGAGAGAAAAGCTAGTACATCTTTTGCTAAACTTTAAAATCTAAAACCAATTTTAAAACAGCCGAATTGATCATAACTCCCTTTGGTATAAAATAAGTTATGATCTAATTAATGGTATTTATTCCAGTCTATGACAGCCCTGATTTATATTACGCCGCTGAAATTAGGCACATACTTCTTATTAGGTACATTACACCAAATAATAACAGCATATACAAATAATAAATAAATAACAGCCTGACGGCTGACATTGTACACTCCATACATTTCGTATATCTAGTTACAGCCCCATTAATTTCCGCTAAAAGAAAATAAATAACTTGTAAATTTAAACAAAAATAACTGCATTACTATGTCTTAGTCATATTCATACAAATCAAAAAGCCTATATATGAGATAATGTAAAGTAAGCGTTTTTAACGTGGTAGAGCCATGCTGCAGCTGTATTACTGGTATAGTTGTAGCACGAATGGGTCGGCTCGACCGGGGAAGGACCACGCTCTTTCAGAATACCAACGTAAAATAGCAGCTTAACGCTGCTGTGTTTCGTATGGTGAGTGTAGAGAACCGGAGACCCTTTTTACTGGAAACG